AGCATCCTCAGCCCATATGACTCGCCTCCCCAGCCCGGACGCCGAACCTCCACATCACCGCTGCTACGCCACTGCTGCCGGTCATCGGAGACGAGCTACGCCGTGAAGCCTCCGGCACAAACCAACCAGTCATCCAGAAGGTGAGTTATGGCCGCCGTACCTTGTATCCACCGATTTGGTCGCCAAGATGGTGATGGCCGTCTGCCAGGCATTTCTCAGACAGCGGCCGCTAGTGCCGAGATGGAGACGGTGATCGGAAGCGACGACCATCACAGTGGCCGGAAGGGATGGTCGTGAAAGTTGTCCGGGACTGAGCTGAGGACTGAGGAGGTGGTTTTCGATATTTGGACATTAATGTGGTCTTTGTTTGGAGAATTAGATATAGTATAGGGACCATTTTGTAATTTTAAAAAATATTAATTACTGTCCATTTAATTCATATTTAAATATATATTTTAATTAAAATCTAATAAATATACAACTTGACATATATTTTTTACAATATGGTACTAATAATTGTATAACTTGAAAATAATAATAATTGAACCAAAGTATAAAATGTCTTACATAAATTTTGTTGATTTGATGATTTTGTGCAATCCGATAGATATTTATGTGCAATTCGTATAACCATAATGTGCAATCATAATACATAAAAAAAATATAAATAAAAAGTACTTTTTTTTCATAAAAAGATAAAAATAAAAAAAGTGATAATATTTTTATATAATTCGACATGTTCGGTTATTTTGTTTATGTAAAAACACTAAATTCGACATTTAACCACCTAATATTATTCGATCGATTAGCACAGTTAATTGTTACGTGCAGCGTATTGTTTTATAAGGTGCAACATGTTGTGGTATAAGGTGCACCGTATTGTTATATAAAGTGCAACGTAATGACATATTAAATGCAATACTGAAATTTGGTTCGTTAGAATATTTGTGTTTTTTTTGTGTATATATGATGTGATGGATATTAAAATATTATGTAGATTAGTTTTTAAAAAAAATTATATTGTGTAATATTTGTTACGGGAGATGTTGACATTAATTGTGTAGTGTGGTG